TTATAACCCAATCAGACAGTTTGGTTTTGTAATGATTGCCCAGAAACTCCGTTAGTGAAGTGTATGAAACGCATGCCAGGATAGTTTGAAAAGGTATTATCGGCAGCGGAGCAAAAAGGGGAAGAAAAAAATCACTTTAATGGAAGAAAAGATAACGACTTTGAGTGCTCGGGTCAACCGTCCAGTTCGATTCATAGACCCACAGAATGAACTCGGTTTCTAAGAGACCCCAAGCCTCTAACACTCGGAATCAACGACAAAACAAAGACAGTAAATGAAAGTAGGGCCAAAGAACAAAAGTCGACACAAATCATTGAGCCTAAAGCATCCGTTATGCAGGCACACAATCTAGTGTCAAAGGTAAAAGAGCAATTTAAAACACTGTCTTAACGGTTATTTGCAACAACGTGCCAGAGTCCACAACCAATACATTGAGAGAGAGAGACCATGAGAAGAATAAACTGAAGCTCGAGTTTAGTGCTTCCGAGTGTATGGTTGAATCGATGAACTGAACATTGTGCGTGAAGGTGAAGTCCGATGGATAGTCAGTTCAAATCAATAAAAACCAATTATCCCACACTACTACACAAGTGCCTGTGAGTCAAACTTGAAATATCAATATAGCTTTGTAGATTTTTTGGCAAATCAGTCCGTACCTGCAAGGAAGTCGTGCCTTGATGGGAGGCTTTCGATTGGAGTTAACAGTATGTCATCTGTGTTTCCCTTCGTTGCTGTCCGGTCAAAATGAATTGACTATCACCGAAGACGACACCTGAACAAACATGAATTGGCAATTTAGTTCAACCATGGCATGAGCTGGTTGGCGCAGTGGTAACGCACACACCTTCCATGCGATGGGTCTGGAGTTAAAACCCCCTACAGGGCAGTGGATATGTACTATTGATGAGCTCTAATAACAGCGAAAATCCAGTCTGGTGCTTTCGAGTGTATGGTCGAATCGATGAACTGAGGATTGTGTGTGAAGATGAAGTCCGTAGGATAGTCAGCTCAGATCAATAGAAAGCTAATTAATTGTACCCAGACTCTTACTATGACAATTAGCCATCTCCCAAGACCACCCGACTACCACGGAAGCAGCCCAAGGATGATAAAAGTCATCCGCGGAACGCTAGATATGGCCAATTCTGTATTGCAGTCGTAGAAGCAATAGAAAACGAGATCCGTCGGAATGGCATCCAAGACCACCACATAATACCAAATCTCAGCAAAGTCCGAAAACGGAAATCAATACTAACACCCCACCTTCCTCGACTAGTGCGCGGACCGAAGAAGTGGCCTTGCTGCGATAAAACATTGAGAAGAAGTGGGGAATTTCGCAAACAAAGGGAAATTTAGTTGGTCTCACTACAAGTTTAAACTGATGTACCGAGCATTTCTGGCTCAAAAATGCATGTCTAATTCAAAACTGCTTTATAAACATATCAACTCTACAAGAAACTTTAATTGGGGAATACCAGCATTGAGATCGTCTGGACATGTTTTAACTGCTACGCTAGAAGCAACAGAGTTCCCCAAAACCCAGTTCGATCAGGTGTTTACTGCAACGACACAGAATTACAGATTCCAAGCATACTACCATATTTACCGTACCCGTCACTTCCTAATATGGCTCTTGACGGTGAAATTGTAAAAGCAAAGCTGTTGAGTTTGTGTGAGAATTCATCCCCAGGCACGGAAAACATGTATTCTCGTACTCTCATCTCATTACTCAATGACATCCAAACCTCCGGCTGTTCACCATCAAAGGATGTTCAACAAGACGGTAATTCTGCATTTATTCATGGAAGAGGTAATTTCATACGTTTGTGAAGGGGCTTTCGCGGTGACCCCGCCAACAACCTCCCTGTTAGACTTCTTCCGATACTGTAGAAGGCCACGGAGGCTATTACTGCAGATCTGTTTGTGGCGTATTTGGAGAAGCATACGACTTGTCCCCTACTTAAAACGAATTTCGGCACAAATATTTGTGTACAACAAATCTACTTCTCTCATGAGATGAATAGAAAAAAATCGGTGGATGCAAGCGAGCCATTGGACATTGTTTTTTTGACTTCTCCATGGTATTTGATCGAGTAAACTACGTAATGCGACTGCGGAAACTCCGCAATTGCGGGGTAATAGGTTTGGTTCTCGACTGGATCGTGGGGGTTCTCCGACAAAGAACCATGTCAGTTCGTGTTAGTGATTCACAATCTGAACCCATCGCCGCTGTCCTAAGGGTTCCGCAAGGATCCGTGTTGAGACCTCGTCTTTTTTGCATTTATAAACGACCTACCAAACGTCCCCGGGCCAAATGCACTGCCATTCGCGGACAACCCTAAGATGTGGGAAACAGTGACACATCCAGAAAAATATTTGGCACTCCATGAAACGATCAATACTTCCCAATGATAGTCGACCGCCGATGACACTAAGCTCAAGACGCAAGATGCAAAGTTATTTCCATGCGACACAAGACTGTCCTGGGGATCCGCATCTCAATGATGAAACTATTTTGGGAGGTCGTAGGATGTTCCACGAACTGTGCCAGAGCACCATCCATAGCTCCAAGACAAGTGGGACTACATAACTGTTCTTTCAGGGAGTTCGAAATAGTCTTGGCCCACGCCTCCTATCAGTGTTCATTCGGCCACACACGGAATATGCCGTTCGAGTATGGAATCCATGGTTGATCCCTGACGAGAAAGCTCTAGAAAGTCCGCAAAGGTTGGCAGCAAAAATGGTAAAAAGTTTATATAACAAAAAATAATCTGAAAAGCTGCAAATATTGAGGCTTTACTCATCTCAGCACCGTCGACTTCGATGGGGGGGGGGGCTAGTCTCGACATACCACACACAGCATCAACCCAACTACACTTGCGTTCTTTGTTGACTTTATCTCAAAATAATCATCTGAGGGGACGTTTATTGAAGCTGAGGACACAGAACAATCATCTAGATTGCCGGCATCACTCGTTTGCAGTTAGAGTGTGCGGTGTATGGAATTCTCTTCCATCCCATGTATTGTGTACATCCACAGTTGAATTATTTAACTCACAACTTGATGAAGCCTTGGTACACTTGGTA